CCCCACACACACAGATATGGCAGACATGTGGATGCAAGATGCATGGGCACAGACATACATGACACATGGACAGGACAGGAGGGTGTGAGTACGGGACATGCAGACATGAGACAGACACATACGACCAACATGAGACATGCGGGCATGTTGAGATGTGGATGTGAGATGCATGTTCCCCACCCCCAGCATAGATATGACAGACACACGAACACAAGATACATGGATGCAGACATACATGATATGCAGAGTGAGACATAGACATAAGACAGACACGTATGACTGACATGAGACGCACAGACGCACAGCAGACAAGACATTCAGACATGTGAACACAGACACAAGACACAGACTTTCTCAGGGCTCTGGATCTGTGGTCCTAGTTGGGTCCCAGCCTGTACTGATGGATGGATGGATGCAATCCCTGGGCCCAGGTGCCATGACTGAAATGAAATGGTGTGTGTAATAAGAGGGGAGGAGAGGTGGGGAGAGACCCCCCTCCCCTCCTTCTGTCTTCTGTTCTGCTCCTCAGAGCCACAGGCCACCTTATGCTACTCTGTGTTGCTTTGGAAGCTAGAAGCCCTGCTCAGCCACTGCCTTTCAGGATGCTAGTAGTGTGGGGAATAACAAAGACCGCGTGCTGCTGTGTAGAAGGGCAGGGGGTGGCACAGAGCAACAAAGCAACCTGCCTCAGGTCATGAAGGAAGTCGGTAGCAGACCTGGGAGCCAGGTGTGGATCCCTGGTGCTCACAAACCCCTCCTCAGTCCCAGGCAGCATTACACAAGCCTTTGGCAAAGTAAATCCTGAGAGATCTGGGAACTGATTTGATGTATTATAAGCAATGTATTGTGTGGAGCTTTTAATAGACCTGTGTGCGTGACATGTCACATCACAATGGTTTATAAGGAGCTGTGACAACCTATCGGTCAACAGTATTGAACCATCGTGTTGTGTTTGTAGCCCAAGAAAAGGTTATGCAGGATGAAATATCACAGGCTGGGACTAGCTCAACCATGAAATAAAACTCTTACGTATGCTTACAAGGCATACTAATCGAGAGCTTACCATGTGCTTCTAAACTGATGCCTTGCCCAATCTTGCATTTTGCTAAATGCTGCTCCTCTGGCTTCTGATTCCTGATTTCTCTTGGAATCTTGTGAGGCTTAATTAACATTGCTGATAACAGCTAAATGAAGATGCATGAGATACACCAAGTGCACTTCAGCACACGCAGTGCACCACAGTGGTTTAAAACAGAACTGGAAGAAGCGGTATTTTGGTGGGGCTGGCACTAAAAAGAACCCAAGAGAAGTTAAATCCTTAGTACTACACTACAATAACATTATATTTTTGACTGACCTGTAAAAGGGCTGCCATTCAAAGCGACCCTTAAAATGCCTAGATTCCATGCAATATTAAGCATTTGTGTACTGATGCAAAACTGCTTTGGCTCTCTAAAGAGGTATCCAAAAAGGCCCTTTTGGATGTCTCTCCTTCCTAAACCTATCCACATTAAGTATTTGAACTATAAGTTTCATGGATTAAATGAAGGTTGAAATTGTTAGCTAAAGCAAAGAAGTTAAATGTTAATTTATTTTATATATATCATGTATCTCGTTCAAATGACTTTATATAAAAATAAAATATTTGTGTGTGTGTCTAAAATCATGAGCTAACAGGTCAGCAACTTCATTTTCTTTTTTTCAAAGAAGCAATGAAACACTAATCCCATCCCCATTTATGCTAAAGGCAGAGAACTACTTTAAAGATTGCTATATATATAACAATCTTAAAGCAGTGCTCTGCCTTTAGCATAAATGGAAATGGAATCAGTGTTTCATTAGTGTTTCAAAAAAGGAAATTAAGTTGATGACCTGTTAGCTCATGAATTCAGACTTCCCTAGAAATAAAGGAGGCTGTCTGATTTGTGGGAGACAGAAATAGATGCAGAAATCTCTGGAGAAAGAGTTGGTAATGTGGAGAAGGTTTCTTAGCAATAGATTGCAAGAGATTGCAGCTGCCTCTTAATCTGTTGATGATGATGACGATGGTATGAACTGCAGACCATATCTAAAATAGTAATTTGGTTTGGCAAAAGCTTGCTTGGTAGAGTGTTTTAGTATGCATGAGTCATAAGCCAGAAAGGTTCCAAATTTAATAACCCTGAGATTAAACAAAAACAAAAAAAAAACCCCAAAAGAAACCAGAACAAACAACCCTCCTCCCACTGCAGTATTTTCGCGTGTATGTTCTCTGTATGTCTCTCCTCATGGTAGCAATAATGTTAAGGTCTTGTCTATGGTATAGTTAAAATGATGTTATGTATAACCTTTTCTCCCATAGTTCTGGCCACAGGTCTCAGACTTCTAACCCTCAGGAGAACATCCCTACTGAA